CACTGTTGTTTGACAGGCAGGAGGGGGGCAGAGAGCTGGAGCAAGCCCCTCCCCCCCCGGAATAGCCAGTCACCTGCTGGTTAGGGCATGCATGGGTTCAGGTCTTACCCCTCTGGGAGATGTAGCTGTGCTGATATAAGTTGTCTGTGCAGACCAGCTCTAGTCCCTGGGAGCCAAGAGACCTGGCGTCTTCTGCCAGCTTTGCTCCCGACCTGCTGTGTGACCTTGCAGCCCGGAGCGCGACCTTCCCCATCTGAAGGAAGAGGGACGCCCACCTTTGTCGAGTGCTCTGAGAGCTGATGAAAGTTCTGCTTCTGTGTGGTACGCTGCTTGGGAGGCTGTGGGGCACACAAGGCCCAAGCTGGGTTCCCTTGCTCCTCGCAGAAGCAGGATCCTGGCAGCTGGCGGGGGCGCCCTCTGAGTTCAATTTAGCGAGTCTTAACTAGACTCACTCCAGTGAACTCTGGAAGATTGGTCGAGGCAGCGTCGACCTTCCGTTTAGTGAAGACTGTCTACTGCTCTGGGTCTGTGCAGCACCCGGCACAGGGGAGCCCTGATCTCGGATGGTCACTTGTGTAATAAATGTGATTATGCATCACTGAATCGCATTAGCCTCTGAATCAGAGTGACCAGAATCCGTGTTTTTATTTAAGGAGGTATTAGGGTGTGTCTAATATAAGATGCATAATTTGAGCTACTGCAAACTGTGAACCTTATTTCGATCTTATTTCAAAATGGCTTATTTCCTAATTTGTCAGCACTAAATTTTGAAATAACCCGCTAATCCGAAACATCCCTTACTCCTCACAGAATGAGGTTTACAGGGATCTCGGAACGGCGAGCCTGTTCTATTTGAGATTGTATATCAAGTTGCAGTGGGGGAGGTCTAGGTTGGATATTAGGAAAAACTATTTCCCTAGGACGGTGGTGAAGCACTGGGATGGGTTACCGAGGGAGGGGGTGGCATCTCCATCCCTAGAGGTTTTTAAGTCCCAGCTTGCCCATCCCCTGGCTGGGTTGATTTAGTTGGGTTGGTTCTGCTTTGGGCAGGGGGCTGGACTTGATGACTCCTGAGGGTTCTATGATATTTCAAAATAACGGGCTTGCTGTGAAGATGCCTATTAGCTATTTGGGGATACTCTGGTGTCCCGAAATAGCGCTGCCTTGTAGATGTAGCCTTTGGGATCTGGGCTTTTTACAATTCCGTCAGCTAATCCAGAATTTGTTATTAAACAGAGGCCAGGGAATGGGAGGAGCCAGTTATAGGCAACTCTAAATTCCACGTTCTTGCCACTAGGTGATGCTGTCAAGCCACCTTTGTGAGCATCTGTCAGCGCCCCCAGCAATCTGCTAATTCCAAGGCCGGCTGGAATCACGGCAGATGTTTTCTGCAACACGCTTCAGTGATGCATAACAAATTCCCTCCGTGCTGGCCACATGGGCTCCTGTATTGAGCACTCTGCCCCCTCCCAGAGCAGGGCTTTGTGTTGCTGTGGGGCACCTGGAGAACGTTCGGGTCAGTCACTTTCACGGTCTCCAGCAGGTCGAGGCCGTAGAGGGCAGCACACGGTTACGGTGGAACGTAGCCGTTGTTTCCCTTCCGGCGAGGCTTGCTGAGGAGCTCTGCCCCGAGGGTGCGTAGCTCATTTCGAGTGAATTTCAAAAGAGCTTATTTTGTAATTTCGAAATAAGCGGCGATTGCGAAACGCCCCTCGTGGGACGAGGGTCACGGGGACGTCGGAATAGCCATTCGGACATAACGGGCTTGTTGAAAAGGCGCAGAATGGCTGGCGGGACACCGGAAGTATCTCGACATAGCGCCGCTGCCTGGACGCAGCCTGAGTGCGTGGATGGGAGAGAAGCGGCGCAGATCCCTGGGGGCTGGGTGCACACGTGATGCTTGATTTGCTTGCGGCTCAGGTGTTTGGGTGGCAGACTGGCTGTGTCCTCTTGGCACAAACTTGGCTGGCACCTCTGGGTGCTCTCGTCAGCTGCCCAGCTTCCTGGGCTGTCTGGCTAAAGAAGCGCCGGCTGCCCATTGAAACAGCCAGGCGCACCTGCCTATGCCCTTACCCTCCAAGAAACCCCACAGCCGCTCTGGGGAGCAGGGGCACCGCTGCCTGCCGGGGCAGAGAGAAAACTGAGCCGGTGAGCCAGAGGCTGGGCGATGGAGGCAACTATCATCTTTGGCAGCCTCTAGAGAGGGCACCTTCCTGCCGGCATCAGGTGAGACCAGAACCTCAGGTGGGCACAGAGCAAAACTTGAACAAATTCCAGTGTCTCGTGGGGGGCCTGCTCTTGGCACCGCTGCGGGTTCACTGCGACCACACGAAGCAGAAGCAAGTGACTGCTCTAGCGAGAGGAAGGATGGTGCAGTGGTTAGAGCACTAGCCTAGGCTGGTAGGGAGCTGGCTTCAAGTTGTTGCTCTGCCTCATCTTTGTGTGCCTGCAGGAAAATTACTGACCTGCTCAGTGCCTCAGGGTATGTCTACACTACCCCGCTAGTTCCAACTAGCAGGAGTAATGTAGTCATCCGCAATTGCAAATGAAGCCCGGGATTTGAATTTCCCGGGCTTCATTTGCATAAAGCCGGCCGGCGCCATTTTTAAATGCCGGCAGTTCGAACCCCGTGCCCCGCGACTACACGCGGCACGGAGTAGCTAGTTCGGATTGGGCTTCCTAGTCCGAACTAGCTGTACTCCTCATTCCACAGACCCATTGCTACAGTGCCTCTGCCTGCCAGCCCATGTGCCTGGCTGGAGAACCCAATGGGTGGAGATGGGGAGCTGAATCCAGTGGTAGGGGACTTCCATGATGCAGAACCTAAGGGTGGAATCTGGAGCTCTGTGTCATATGCCCTATACTGCAATGTGATGATAGAAATCGCCAGTTACTGCCAACAGCAGGGTTGGCGCTTTTGGAGCGGGAGGATCTGGGTCTATCCCTCTTGCCCCACATGCTCTTGGGGGGAGGGGCGCATAATTCCCCTCTGCTAGGGTTAGCTGACAGGCAGGATGGGACTCCTGTGGTGAAAACTGTTGAATCTCAAGTGGAGAGACGGCAGCTTGGAGGTCAGGCTCTCAGAGCAATTAGCAGGGGTCAGGAGATGGCCCCTGCTGGCGACCCCAACAACCCAGTGACCCTGGGCTTTGACTGACTTGCCCAGGGCTGGTTCCAGTGAGCTGGGACTAGTAGTACCGGGATAAAAGTAGCTCCAAGCAAGATCAGGCCCCTTTGTGCAAGATGGGGAGAGAGAGGAGCCCTTGGGTTAGTGAGTTCACAGCCCGAGTAGGCGAGGGAGGGGAAACAGCCCCAGCAAGGGGACTTGATGGACCCAAGGCCCCACAGAGCTGTGACAGCTGGGAACAGAGCTCAGGTCTCCTGACCACTAGGCCACGCTGTGGGGTGCAGGAGTCAGTGTTGGAGTGAGGAGGGGCTCCAGGCAAAGGGGTAGGGGTTGCAGGAGTCAGAGCAGGGGGTGAAGGGGATCAGGGCAGAGGGTGGGTCTGCCCACCGGCTCTTCTTTGGGGTTTTCACAGGGCAGTGGGGGTCATGTGGCCTGCCTGCCAGCTGCTCCCTCAGGCCAGCCTGAAGCTGTGCAGCCCAGTCGGCAGCTTCTCCTTGGGGCTGGCAGGGGCCGGCTGGTGGCCGGGGGCCGGCGGCCCCCGGGGGGGGGGGGGGGGGGACCTGCCAGCTGCTCTGAGCAGTGAATGACTTTGTGCACTTCCCCGCCTCTGGGTCTCGACTGGCCGGGGGGTGCAGGGAGGGCCATGAGCCATGGGCTGGATCAAATGGCTTGGCTTCTCTTCCAGATTGCTCCCAGTGCCAACTCCTCCTCCTCCTGGGTCCCCCTGGCTGAAAGCTCTCTCCGGGTTCCTCCTCTTCCCGGGCACACCACCGC